TTCACCCAAGGATACTTTGTGGCAAGTTTGGTTGAAATTGGTCCAGCAGTTCTTGAGAAGAAGTCGAAAATATGAACAGTTTACAGACAGACAGAAGGACTCCGGACAAAATGTGATCAGAAAAGCTAAATAGTGGCCAGCATGGTGAGGGAAAATTTTTCTGTTTCGTAACTTTTGTTCTTGGAAAAGTGGCCGGTGTTCAAGGATGGCCTGTTTTATGAGAGTTTATGTGTAAAGAAATGTTAAGAATTTTGCCAGGACTTATAAATTCAGCCGATGTTTAACTAAATGAACTTATGTCTATTATGGCTATTGAAAATCACATATAAGAAAACAGACTATAGGAACTCTTTTCAGCGAGGAGGTAAACAATTTCATCACGGGAGCCATATTTCGAATGGAGAATTCAGTGAATATTTTTTATGTTGGGATTTACATGCCTAAATGGTAAGCAATGTAGGAATAATAGTGACAGAGAGTCAAATAAACAACCAAATGACTTAACTGAAAAGAACGACAGCGTGGCCTAGGTTGCTTGTCAGCCGAATTTGGGGCTTGATTTCCATAGTTACATGAATTATGAGTGGCTGTCTAGAAATTCTGCGGGTGTCAGTCCAAATATCTAGCCCAGCAGAAACTCAATAGAGATTAGGGGAACTGGCTTCCAGGAGGGACGGTTTGGAGAAGTTTCACTGAATTTATAAGATTGCTAGTATGTTTCTTTTGTTGTCATCAGTTTTAGTATTTTATATCCATGAATGTCTACAAACATATAAGCGAGTCATATGTCATTCTTCAGCGTCATGTATTGCTTACAAAATTGGAAAACATGACATCGTAAGAGTTAATTCAGTGGGTTCATTTCCAAATTGTTGTCATTAACTCACATCTTCGGACCAGTAGGTGTTACAGATAATGTTATTTTAATTTAAAATTACAAAACCGTATTTCGGGGAATATAATACACACTTTTTTCCTAAAATAAATTTCTGTGAGAAAGGGATGCGTATTTTACATCACAATGGGATTTTGATAAGTTTTTCATTCAGGTAAAACACAGCTATCATATGTACATACCGTAGTATTACCTAGAGACATATGCAATTTCTTTTGTTTATCACCATATTTTAAACTTCGGAAAGTTATTGTTGGAAGGTATGCTTGTTAAAAATGTCACTTTCATAAGCTTTTGATACCATAATAACATAAAAAAGCAAGTTTAAAGTAATTTGAGCTGCATGTTGATTGTCTCCGAGAAGGCCGCCATTGCCAATTTTATTTTTAGACATTCACTCATGGCTATGCCACGTGCTTCTGTAATGATAGTGCACATGCACCTTATCTGCCAGACAAAGTAATAAGGCATTTTTTAATGAAATACAATAATTAAAAATAAAAAATTATTTTAGGTTTTAAATACAGTCCCTGTAACGTTCTACTTTCCCATTTTCCCGTTCGCTCGCCGTTCGTTCAGCGTGCGTTCACTGTTCGCTCTCCGTTCACAGTATTGCGTTCACCGTTCACCGTGCGCTCGCGTTCACCGTTCACAAAACATTCACCGTTCGCTCTTCGTTCCGTTTACTTTGTGTTCACCTTGCGTTCACCATTCACTTATCATTCAGTCTTTATTGTCATTTGGAACTCCGAAGTGAAAGGACTTATCTTTTTGATGGTAAGGATTCACACATTTATTAATTAAATAACTTAGATATCGTGTCTGAAGAATAATTATTTCATTGCAAAAATTATCTATGGTATTTAAATTTTTATTGTCATAACTCAGCTGTTACTTTATTCATGAAATTTCCCTGGAAAATAATACATTAAGTACCTACTCTACATGTATGCAGAACGATGCTAAGATATTAAATTAAAAAAAAAAGGCAATGTACAAATGCTTTACACACGGCAAGAATTTGTTGTAATGTTAAAGACGACAAATCACCAATGGATGTATAATAATTAATGCAAGTCTTTTACAAGAAATGAATACACAAAAAATTATTCCTACAGTAACACATGTTTCAAACTACTCGTAGGTCTTAGAATTATGAACAGTACTGCAAATAGTCAGTTGAATAAATATTTTTACAGCTATTTTGATAGTGTGGTTTTAAATTTAAGAAAACGCCAACTTTTTAAAATAATCTTTTATTAGAGATGGAAAATTCCTTCCTCCACCATACCAAAATATATGTTTGCCATTCAGTATAATTAAGCCCCCCCCCCCCCCACCCCTGGTGCCTTTTCTCCCAATATAAAATTCTTAGTATTTTCAGTACATTTTACTTAATATCAAATATGTATTGTAACTCAAGAAAATCAGTTTTAAAACCAACATCAAACAGTCATTAAACAATATTATTTTAGAATAAATTTGTGCCAACAGTAGTATTTTCAAAACGAAATACGGCTTACATGCAATACTGATTTAAGATTTCAAAGAATTATCAATATTATTCATTGACTTTTTCTGGAACTAAATACATGTAAGACTTATTTTATTATTTTAGATTATAAATAATTATTTAATAATTCTCTGACATAAGAAAACAGATTTTTTTGTTCTATCAGAAGATAGTAGTAGATAGACCGTAAAATTTGATTGAATTGGATTTCATAATATGCAGAAAGTGGAATACGATTGGAAAAAAACGCAGCATGAAATGACTTAAATTACAAGTTATATCCATGTTTCCATTGATTCAATGCTTGCAAAATCTCTAAAAATGATTTTACCAATTATTTATCAATTTTTCATTTGCAGAAATTTTAAAAATTAAGCTCCAGAGCTAAATACTGATAAACAAATTCCCGAAAATTATGTCGTGTGCATGTACATTCGCCGACGAAATATTTATGTGAAGCTTTTAAGAAATGCTTATTTGTATAAAAAAAAAAAAAAAAAAAAAATCGTTTTGGTGTATTTAAAAATTTTCAAAGTATCTTGACCACAAAAACCAGTAAACAAGAATGAACATCAGAGAAAAAAAAAAGGTTAAACATCTAAACTGTACGGTTTATCACAATAGGGCACACTATTTGACGAGAACATAATACTGTACGACTTACTATATTGTTTGTATACAAGCGATAATTAGTTCGTTCATGTATGTACCGCGTACAATGTAATTAATTCATTCTATAAGTAGTAGTTTTATCTTCTGAAGTCCACATTATTTTATTAGTTAAAAGAATAAGCATCTTTAATATATAAATAGATTAATTAATTTATTTTCATATTCAAACTACACACGTTCGGTAACAAATACACATGTTTTACGGCAATTAAAATCGTGTTATAAAATAAAACATAGGTATATATCTGTACAGAAAAAAATGTTTTTATTATTTATTTTTTTCATTTTTTTTTAATTAATCTATTGTTAATTTTTATTTTAAAGCACCTGAAATTAGAATTATAGAATAATAGAATAATTTCAATGCAAGGAAAAGATCAGAGGCATTCCGAATAAATCGTTCATCTTGCGTTCACCGTTCGTTCACCGTTCACTTTGCGCTCGCATTTGCGCTCCGTTCGCGTTCTGCGTTCACTCACCGATCACCGTTCACATATCATTCACCAAGTTGCGTTCAGCATTCGCACATCGTTCACTCACCATTCGCTTTGTGTTTGTTCACCGTTCGTTCAGCGTTCCTTCACCGTTCAGGTGGGAAAGTAGAACGTTTCAGGGACTGTAACTCAATGAAAATCTGCTGCAACATAAACACCCCTCCATACGTCCAAATGAAAGGAAGCCAATGTTGTAACACACGTGCACTGGTCAAATAATAATTACCTATCAACACTCCTCCGGGCAATTAATTGTCTACCGACTCTAAAGCAATGTTTTTACTGTTAGAGCACTGATTATTTACTGTCATGTTAATTGCTTTGATTAATTTCTTTGTTAAAAATTGGGGGTTGGTTTATGACCTATTGTATGTGTGAGCATGTGTTGATTACGACACATTAAACAATTAAACACTTGTTAAATGTTATTTTGCCTTATCTTATACTTATCGGCCTCTTTATTAAAATGATTTAGAGTTAACAAATGAAATATGAATTATGCTAAAACTTTAGTGTTATCATTTAATCGTGCTCTTTAGAAAACAAGATATATCCGCGAAGATTTAGAAGGAAAATGGTAGTCTTCTTTTTAAAAAAAATACTTTGATGTTTCAATTTCGTATCCTGTTAAAGTATTGTAACATAATTTTCAGCATGATTACCTAGAACCAAAAGTAAATATGACAACTGTTAAAACTTTCAACAATACTTCATGCTTTGTTGAAATAAAATTATTTCATCTAAGAATATGGCGACACATAATTTCAAAATCACCATAATTATGCTGAAAAAAATTCTGTTAATACTTTTATGCAAAATTATCTTGTGCTTTGTTGAAATAAATGAATAAATAATTTTCTCCAGATTGCCGCGATATGGAATGTCAGGATTAAGAGAAAGTTGTAAAGTGTGTATTTTAAAATAGGTGTGTTCAATAAATTTTTGACACTTAATTCTCGCGCCGATTTTCGTAACAAACTACCGCAATTTGCAAAGTTCAGAACATCACTTGGTAAATTTTTATGTTGCGTATAATACATCCTAACTGCGTTTTTTCCCCAGTTTCAGACTCAAAAAGGGGGTCATATTTTACATCAATGCGTATTATACTCGGCCAAATACGGTATTTGGGAAAGTGCACTGCACTGTTGCATTTATGTGCACTTGAATTAGACTCAGCCTCCTTAATCCCAAGAGATGAATTGTCTCTCTCTTTCTCTAATCCTATTCTTCTTTATTTATGGTAAGAACTTTTTTCCGAAATGGTAAAATGTGGATACTATCTGACTACCTCTTAAAATTAATAGTACTGTTGAACTTAGATAACTTGATAAGGTGGCAGGTAGTATTAGAGGATATGAAAAAGCTAATAGACAGACAAACAGACATGAATATTAATTAAAAACAAATGACAGTAAAATCCAACATACCATCTTCTTTCCTTTTTTTTCAAAGGGGTAAATGTACTGGTACTACAATCTGCAACAACTAGATCCTTCTCACAGTTTGCAATGCACTGATCTTCTTCAAGGTTATATGATGAAAATATAATATCAATGTGGCCATGCCATACCTCCTCATGGCCTGGAAAAAAAGAAGTTTGTTTCCTTAGTCCAAACTGAACACAATTATTAAATGTCACAATTAAAAGAGGGCAACAGATTAATAACTTATTGTGAATATATACAAATACAGAGTTAATACGATATAAGCTGTTTCTATTTTATCTAAATATATTGTGTTTAGTTTGAAGTAAAACCTAATTCATTTCTCAAAGAAATTGATCAGTCGTATATTACAGCTCTTAGAAGAATAACCAGAAGTCTCTGAAGAGAATGTAGCTCTACTGGTTTGTACTTATAACAAAGGAATAGTAGCAGTTTGACCTTGAACTTTTCAATAGCAATAATTAAGAAATAAATAACAAGTTTAAAATCTTCAACATGTTCAATGGGAATTAAAGTGGGTCGGTCACGTGATCAAATCCTGTGAAGGCCGAAAGCCTTCTCAGAAGACAATAGTTATAAATATTAATTATTACACTAACCGTACGTCGTAGATTTTGAAAAATGACGCAAGGTTAAAATTGGCTTGATTGGCGGTAATGCCAATCGAATTCATCAGGCGAAGGATTCTATTTCGAAGAAAATATTTTGAATAGCTACCTGTGATCAGTACTATTGAAAAGATTGTTGTCTGGGAATATTTTTATTTGTGCAAATTGATAATCAATGCTGAAAAGACACAAGAAACATGTCTGAAGATCGCTGATAAAAAGTTGGAGGACTTTTGGTCGCTGGAAGTGAGGGATGGATCCAATGGATGGAAAAACTTAACTGAGCAAATTAATTTGCAATCAAGCATTAAATTTATTCTTGGGTTGAAACGCTTTATATTTTGATGCAGCTAAAAAAAGTCACATTTTTCTGTGCATCATGTGTAAATGATACAGCACAAACTACATGGTTGTGATGTATCTATGACATGATCCACATTCGTATTTTGTAGTCTTTTCTTCTGTACATATGTCTTCATAGCTCAGAATACTTAGTTTGAGGGGCGAGTTAGTACCAAGAGATATTTGTTGTCCTCTGGTTATGGCGGCCGTCATACTTGGTATGATAATACAAAACCAAGAAGCTAGATCTACATGATTGTGTAATTGATGTTGTAAAAAAAAAAACAAATTCATTAATTGATTAAACTTATATTAATTAATTTTAAAAATTTTAATTTCAGTGAAAAATTATTCAGATATGTTTATTTTTTTTAAAACAAAAATCTAAGAAATTTTAAACTATTTCTAAATATAGCTCTGCATTACACTTTTGAAAAGGCACAAACTTGAAACATGCGTGAAGTTAGAAATGTGAATTGGTTGAGTGGAGGATAATTAGGATGGTCATTATTTGTCAACCTTTGGAGAAAATAACAGAATACGAGAATCAGTATCCTGGGGATCAATTTACTTCATAACTGCAGATATTAGTGGTGAGTTACAAGAAATGGAGGCAATCACTGAATCAGATATATGTCTGTAGATGTTACATGTACTGTCTATTTGTAAAAGTTATTTGGTCTTTTTTTTCATGAAAATTTTGCCAAACTTTGCTTAAAGAAGGGATCCAACTAAAGTAACATATAATTAAAAATTGAGACTCAAGAAAGTTGTATAGGGAAATAAAAGATGATTATTTCTCTTTATATTTAAGGTGATTGTTGACAAAGTTGACATATTTTATATCTCAAATAAAATTTTATTAAAGACTTTGGTAACCAGAAGTCTCTGTCGAGACTGTAGCTCTACTGGTTTGTACTTATCAAAAACCATTGCACTATTTTATGTATCTTTGTGTAGTCTACTTGTGTGCCAACTTATTTTGAAATCAAACTAAAACTGTAGAAGGAGTAGCGTTTTATAGGAATTTCACAGATTTCTATTTTTAGTAACCATGGTAACAACGTTCATCGAAATTAAAAACCGATGCACTATTCTATGTATCTTATGATCTTAGTGTAGTCTACTTGTGTGCCAAGTTATATTGAAATCAGACCAAAACTGTAGAAGGAGTAGCGTTTTAAAGGAATTTCACAGAGAATTCTATTTTTAGTAACCATGGCAACACCGTTCACCGAAATCATAAACCGATGCACTATTCTATGTATCTTAGTGTAGTCTACTTGTGTGCCAAGTTATATTGAAATCAGACCAAAACTGTAGAAGGAGTAGTGTTTTAAAGGAATTTCACAGAGAATTCTATTTTTAGTAACCATGGCAACACCGTTCATTGAAATCAAAAACCGATGCACTAATCTATGTATCTTAGTGTAGTCTACTTGTGTGCCAAGTTATATTGAAATCAGACCAAAACTGTAGAAGGAGTAGCGTTTTAAAGGAATTTCATAGAAAATTCTATTTTTAGTAACCATGGCAACACCATTCATCGAAATCAAAAACCGATGCACTATTCTATGTATCTTAGTGTAGTCTACTTGTGTGCCAAGTTATAATGAAATCAGACCAAAACTGTAGAAGGAGTAACATTTTAAAGGAATTTCACAGAGAATTCTATTTTTAGTAACCATGGCAACACCGATCACCGAAATCAAAAACTGATGCACTATTCTACGTATCTTAGTGTAGTCTACCTGTGTGCCAAGTTATATTGAAATCAGACCAAAACTGTAGAAGAAGTAGCGTTTTAAAGGAATTTCATCGAAAATTCTATTTTTAGTAACCATGGCAACACTGTTCATCGAAATCAAAAACCGATAAAAAAAATCTATGTATCTTAGTATAGTTTACCTGTGTGCCAAAATATATTGAAATCAGAACAAAACTGTAGAAGGAGTAGCGTTTTAAAGGAATTTCACAGAGAATTCTATTTTTAGTAACCATGGCAACACTGTTCACCGAAAATCAAAACCGATGCTACCTGTGTGCCAAGTTATATTGAAATCAGACCAAAACTGTAGAAGGAGTAGCGTTTTAAAAGAATTTTATAGAAAATTCTATTTTTAGTAACCATGGCAACACTGTTCATCGAAATCAAAAACTGATGCACTATACTATGTATCTTAGTGCAGTCTACCTGTGTGCCAAGTTATATTGAAATCAGACCAAAACTGTAGAAGGAGTAGCGTTTTAAAGGAATTTCACAGAGAATTCTATTTTTAGTAACCATGGCAACACCGTTCAACAAAATCAAAAACCAATGCACTATTCTATGTATCTTAGTGTAGTCTACCTGTGTGCCAAGTTATATTGAAATCAGACCAAAACTGTAGAAGGAGTAGCGTTTTAAAGGAATTTCACATAAAATTCTATTTTTAGTAACCATGGCAACACCGTTCATCGAAATCAAAAACCAATGCACTATTCTTTGTATCTTAGTGTAGTCTACTTGTGTGCCAAGTAATATTGAAATCAGACTAAAATTGTAGGAGGAGTAGCGTTTTGAAAAATTGTTTACAGACAGACGGACAGACAGACAGACAGACAGACAGACAGACAGACAGACGGACGGACGCCGGACGCATTACTATCGCATAAGCTCTTCTGGTCTCTGACCAGTAGAGCTAAAAATTGCATCAGCTGATTGATTGAACATAGATTTAGCAGAAAGAAAATTTACGCGGCTGCAATTTGAACATGTTGAATGTGTTGGTTTGGTTACAGAAAAATATGTTTTCACGGCCAGCTTATGAAGTCAATCTTAAAATATTAAACATCGTTATTAAATAATCCCGACTTGTCCCAGGTCATCATTTGGGTGAGACAGGCTGAAAATCAGGTCGTCCAAATCATTTCTGGGTGGAAATGACAAGATGATTAGCGTGAACGTCGAACCCTGTTATGGGCTAGGTAAAGGTGACGACAGAGAGAGATCGAGACACACAGACAAACAACTAGACAGACAGACAGGACAAAAACATTATACCCCTGCGATCTTTTGATCGGGGGGCATAAAAATTGAATATCTCAAGATAATATACTAAATAAAGGAAGACAACCTAGTTGAAAGTTTCCTTCTGAATAAACTAGAACTGTCCAAACAGGACAAAATACCCCCCGCTGGATTTTTATGAAGTAAATTTATCCATAAGAAAGATATGGACCGGACACAAATTACAAAATTTTTCTTCCAGTGACCTTGAACTTCCCAAATGACCTTGGGTCAAGGTCATAACACACCCTTGGGTCATGGGCAATCTTTGTGTGAAATGAGAACCTTTTACCAAGTTTATCCATAAGAAAGATATGGACCGGACACTAGGGCTGTGCAATATTACCGGTATATCGGTATATTGCGGTATTATCCACCACGACAATGTATCGCGATATGAAAGCCAGATACCAGTATTTCACGATATTTATAAAAATATATAAAAAACCTCCCTTATTGTAGAAACTGCTGAAATAATACTTGTAACTTCCCAAGGCCTTTTCAATCTAGTTGAAAAAATACTTCGTTAGCTTTCAGAGGCGAGAGAGAGAGCTTAATCTTTTCATTCACTGTCGCAATTTCAAATATCTTACTTTAAAATAAATTAATGATTAATAGAAAGACGCTTAAATAAAATTATTTTTTAAAAAAATTTACAGGGTGTATACCATGTTTACTGTGGTACTCAAAATCTTGAATATACGATCGACATCGCGATGATGAATGTTAGATCTAAGTTCAAGAAACATATTATAAGTAAATGGCCCTCTATGTTTTCACTTGATAAATTGTTGCTTTTATTATTTTTTTTTATTAAGTTTCATGCCATTTTTTACACCTTCATGATACTGTAAACGTGGTTAAATTGACGAGTTGAAAAATTGACGATTTCTTGTTTAAGAAAATTGACGAGTGTTAATTTTGACGAAATATTTAATCAACAGTCATGTATCTTTGAATTCACGGGGACACAAAGGCAGCGTCGGAATCACTTAAATTTAATTTTTGTACAGACTACTAGTATAAATACAGTGTGTAAGATTGTACAAACTATCTAAGTGTGTAAGATTTGATTAAATAAATTGACCTCTTGTTATTTATTTTCATTATAAGTGGTCAATTGCCTGAGGTGACAAA